ACATGGCAACTCTGAAGGCTGATATCACGGATATCGGTACTCTTTTGCTGCTCTTGGGCTGTGTTTTTGCCATGGAATATTGACCTGGTGAATGTGTGCGTGCCGATCTATGCATGCATACATATACATATACATACATACACACACATACATACTGTACACATACATACCGTACCGTACCTACCTACCTGCCTGCCTGCCTGCCTACCTACCTACCTACGTACCCACATACACACCATATACATACATACACACATACATACATGCATACATACAAACATGCAAACATACAAACATACAAATAAACATACATGCATGCATACATGCATACATGACATGACGTGACATGACATGACATGACATGACATACAGACACACACACAACCATACAGTCACACACACATATCTACGCATACTTGTACCTACACATACGGACACATATGTACACATATGCACACACACGTCACATGTGTCGCATACGGAGACATATGTACACATATGTACACATACGTACACATACGTACATACACATGCACACATACACATGCACAAATAGACAGACACGGCCACATACACATTATAATTATACACATACAGGAAGGTTTTGTTTCGGTTGGAATGTTAATTGTAGAACTTCCCGCACCTGCGATGCCATAAGGGTTGCTAGTGCTGGTGCTGGTGCTGGTGGTGGTGGTGGTGGTGGTCGTGCAGGCGATGATACTCTTAAGCATGTGACTCTTTCAGACTCGACACATGGTATGTATAAGTTGATAGTGTTTTAGCCTTAGCCTTGGGGATCGATGTTTTTACCTCGAAAAGCAAAAACGTTGTATTTACGTTTTTTTTCAGTGAGAGCCAAGAACCATTTTTCTTGTATGTTTGCTGCTCAAAACTCTGGTATTTACACGCGCATGTTGCTAACACTGTCTAACACTCACATGTTCACAGAATCGCTGCAAAAAAACACCGCTGCTTGAGCCTCGTGAAATTGAAAAAAAGAACCTGCGAAAAGAGTGAGCATTTGAGGGGTGTGGGAGAGTAGACGTGCTCCAGGCCGGCCCCCGCGTCAAGGTGCCAAGTTGAAGGTGGACATGTGAAAGGCTGCCATTCTGGTGGTGGTGGTGGGAGTGGTGGTGCCGTCGTGGAGGGCTCTCCACAACAGAGGAAGGTGACGAAGACAAAGCAGATGTAGCGAAGGTGGCATGTCAGGCCATTGACGATGTTCATTCTCTGGTCTAGTGGCAGCGAAGTGATGCTTCCGAGACGATTCGGGCACATCTCTTTGCCTGGCGTCATAGCTTGCTCGATGTCCGGAATTGGTTTCCTTCGGTCCAACGTTTGCGTGTCCACTGTCCAACCGTTCAACGATGTTCAACGTCTGTGTTTAATATCGGCCCCAACCGCCGCGGCACGGCTTCCCTCTCCTGGGTGGTGGCGGTGTGGCTCGAGGCTGGGGTTGACCAACGCGGACTAACGTGACAGAGTCGAGAAGCAGAAACCAGAGACGTTCAGTGACAGTCAGACGTTACCAACGTTTGTTCAGCAGGGACGTTGGAAAGTGTCTTCGTCCCGGTCAGATGCGCCCAGAATCAACCCGCCAACCGATGATATTGGCACTGAGGAAATAAAGGTGGAACCAACTTCTGCTACATTTGTGGCGTGTGGGCCTTGGACAGTTTGTGGCATAGAAGTTTCTGATTCTCTCTCTCATAGCTAGGTGAAGCTGCTCAACAAGACCGAGTGCCCCCTTTCATTCATTGAAATGTGGAACGACACGGATCCGAAACAATCCGGTGTTCCTTGTGTGACATTCTTCAGGCACTTCACACACTACCCCCACGGCATGTTCTCTGACTACTGCTTGAATAAACCAAAGGTGCGCAGTGCGAAATCAATAATTCGGTCTATGTCCTTGCTGTAGACGCTGTATGCGCAGTCGTGTGCAAGCACGTTGGGCGGTTTTGCTGCAATTTTTTAAAAAACAATGTTTAATGTACTTACATTCCTGACTGCTCTTCCTAAGCACATCAGGTAAACGATGGTCAAAAGACAGATTTTTGGTTGGAGCTATGGAGGAGCAGTTGTGAGTTTGCTGCGTTGGTTCTCGTGTTTCAACTAGGTTTTGCTTTGCATGACCTTGCAACACTACTCCTGTGTGACGTGGACATGTTGTTTTTTGGGGGCGACGAATCAGGATTGCATTGAGTGACAGTTTGTCGATGCATGACCCTTGGTCCCAGGATGATGCAAGGTCTGAGTCAGGGGACATCCTGACATTCCAACGAAGCTTAGCTGCACATCAGAACAGGGAAGAGTTTTGTTTACTTTAGAGGCGAGCATTGTACACCTGAATTCATCCAAAAAGGCCAAGACTTCGTTTGCCCAACATCGCGTTGCTCACGTGTACAACTTTGAGAATGACGTCAGCTGTGTGTTTTGCCTAACTGATCTCTTTTCCTCTCTAAGAGAGCCACTTGCATGATTGAAGTTTCACAGCCTTCCATGGCTGTGCCATTATTTGCTTTCCCTGAAATACACTGCCAGTGGTCAAATGTTCAGTGATTGTCATTTCAGGGAATGCAGATTTATACGAATTTGATTTGTGTAAGCTGCACACCCTGCAGACGAATGCCTGGTTTGGAGTGGCAAGACTTACACCGCCTTGCAGTTGAGAATGTCAGCAAGTAGCTGTGCTGTTCGAAATCAAGTGGTTGGGCCGACTTTTGCAAGGGATCAACTGCAAGCTGTGCATAATCTTGGTGAGTCAGGGTGCCAAAGCAATCGCAATGAGTTTAAGGTGCACATACTACATATGTTCATCCTCAAGTTCTTGGCGCAAGCTGTGAAGCTTTGCGCTTGGCACCATCAGAAATTGTGAAAAGAACAGCACATATTTGTCACTGTGTGCCGTGTGCTGGGCGGTGGGCTCAATTGACTTTGAAACTTCGCTTTTGCCACTCTGCTTGTAACAGGAAAACCCAAGTCCCAACACTTGCTACCCAATCCAATCCGCAAGATGAAGTTGTTGTTTAGTTTTCATTTAGAGTCGTTCTTTTTTCCGAGGTTTGCTTTCCTTTTATGCTTACTATTCCATTTCGCCAGCGTGATGTATGCGCAGTTTTCATCCGTGCGCCCGCCATCCTGCGCACTGGCACCAGCGTCCGCGAGTTGGCCAAGGCAGCTGGACTTTTCATGACTGTTCAATCCGAATCTTGAAAGACTGACAGTTTGGTTTGGTTGGTGCGTTGAGAGTAAGAGGTGCATAGCTATTTGTAACAAGTGCATCGCTATTGCTACTAATAGCAAGAAGCTACTAGTAGTGAAAAACCGGAAGCGACCAGTAGGAACTGAGGAAAGGACACGCGATACTCTAAGAATGCAGGAATCCCTACTGATGGGTAGGTAGGATTCGGGTGGTTCCTTCATTCAAAGAACCAGCCAGAGAATAGAGAATAGACACCCACATATATATATATATAGGAAACTAAAGTAGCTTGACATTTTGCTGTATGGTCCTATATCCCTTGGAACCAGTATGGACCCTCCACTCAACCCTGCACGCTGGACAGGTCATTCACCCATCAGCGGGTTCAGGCATGGGGATGGTTTGCAATGAGGCTAACTGCAGCAGACCCTGGACCCTGCCGCTTCATGGACAATTTCGTTTCATGGCAAACCCCAACAACAGGCAGAGAACTAGACCAAGCTAGACCAAGCCTCATTGCAAATGGATGCAATTGGACTGCAGTTCCTTCTGTTCGATCTCCCATTGCTTCAGAGGAGGTGCTTGTTTTGATTTAGAATGATTTAGATGGTTGACTGTCGACTCACTGACAATACTCTCTCAGCAGGCCAATGGGCAGATGGTGTGACCGTTGCTGCAGAATCCGAGTGCCACGCTGAGATCAATCCGAACTCCCGGTTGCGACCTCTGAAATTGTTAAAACTCTCAACCAGCTCTCTCCGGGTTCTCTCGTCACATGGCCTAACCCTCGTTCGCTAGCTAGGGCCGTGGAAGATTGGCAAACCTCTCGAGCAGGGTAAGGTACCAGGCGGAAGAAAGGGCACCCGCCCTGTTGGTACCAGAGACCGCCCGCCGTGTTGAGTGTCCTTCGCTAAGTCGCCTTCTGGTGACCACCTTCCATCCCGAACTCACCAATGATCATCGTACAGAGCTGAGCAGCTGGAAGCGAACATGAGAAAGGTCAGGCACCTTTTCCATGGAATTTTGAGCCTTATTTGGTTCTGGCATGCTTTGGGGGTAGGACATTAAAGATCCAAGACATCCTACACATTAAAACGTTGCAATCTTGCATGGAGCGTGGCAAGGGCTGACTCACTGTTTTGTGGACCCCCTGGGTGAGGGCTGGGCAATGTTGAGCCTGAGGCATTCACCAGTACTTTGTTGAGAAATTTGTTCTGAAATGCTGAGCGTATTTCTTGCTTAGAGTTTCTCGGTGCAAAAAATGGCACCCCTTTTCATCTTGAGCAAATGTGCCAAACAAACAAACCTGCCCAGACAAGGAGACATTGGCACATTTCGCCACGCGTGCATGCGGCAGCCACTTGCATGTTACGTTTGGTCTCCTAATCTTGCTGCAGCTGCTCGAGTTAAGCGCTCACCTTCAGACCAAGAAGAACACTGAGACTGAGCACAAATGTGCGCTTTCCATTGTACCCTGTTTTGGCGCAACATTCCCAACATGCAATCCAGGTTCACAACGTTCTGGTGTTGCATGGTCTATTGTACTATGCAAAGCTATGCAAAACTATTGTGGTCGGAAGATGGGCAAAGGTGCAAAGATCAAGCAGTGCCTGACTGGAGCGAAAAGCGAAGAGAGATGGACAGACGCGGTTTGATTTGCCAAAACTGTGTTTGGCAAACAGTATACACTTTCCCGCTTTGACCGCTTTTTGTATGATTGGAGAAGGGCTTCAGGAAAGACTGGAAGCTGATGAAAGCTTGTTGCTCGAATTGCAGCGCACCTTGGCCCAGCCAGGTCGTCTCGAAGTCATGCCCTCTTCATTCTGCGCATCACATTTCCAATCAAGGTGCGCATTGAACATGCTTGCACAAAGAGTTAAACGGAGCAGAGAACAGGACGCTCACAGGTTCGCAGAGCGTTCATGATCGCCCCATTTAAACCTTAAGGTTCTACATAGAACAAGCTTGACATTGATTTGCAAGCAACCCCTGAGGATGAGTCACGAACGCGCATTAGAAATAGCACTTTGGTGCTGCGCCAAGTCTGTTGAGGGATGAGTGAATGGTTGAGCAAAGGTGACAGTTTAAACCTTTGATGCTGCAGCTGCTCGATTCTCTACTCAGAATCTCATCGACCTTGCTGGAAGTGAGAGAGTGAAGAAGAGTGGGGCAGCAGGTCAGAGTCTCAGAGATTCTCAGAGCTTAGCCTGTCAGAAATGAGCGTCTAAATTGAAACGGAAGACATGCCGAGCGTCGCCCTGAATATTGTATTGTATAATATTGTAATTGAATGTCATTGATACAACCATTACAACCATTGCGTAAACACAGCAAGATAGACATATACATTTACATGTATATTTACACCTATATACATAGACCTCAAATAGCATTTTGGAGAAGAAACCTCATGAGGCATTCTTATGCGGTCGCTCAGTCTCTTAAGACCGCCAAGCATAAGTAGTGCTAAAGAAGCAACGCAAAGCATCGCAAAGTACTAGTATGTACTAGTAGTGCCCTTGTTACTAGTAGCGATGCCCTTGAGGCCAGCGGATGCGAGAAGGGCAGAACATCAACAGTTCGCTCAGTGTGCTTGGTCAAGAGTCTGCCTTAACTGCATTGCTCGGCACAGTTTTGAAATAACTGAGCTTGTGTGAGACGTAATGACATGTAATGACGTCGTGTTGTGCGCCGCAATAAGGTCATCTCCAAGTTGGCACAAGGGAAGTTCAAGCACGTGCCATTCAGGCGTTTGAACCTGGTCCGACGCGGCATTGTGAATTAATGTGTTTTGTTTTGCTTGTCCATACCTAATGAGCAATGAGATATCTATGTGAGCAGTTTCCTAGCGCTAGCATTTTGGGCCGCACCCCTATGTAAGCAGACAGACATGGTACCTTAGGAGCAGATCATAGAGATCATAGAGTGAAGCACAGTTGGTAGCATCTTACATTGGCTTTGGAAACGTCATTTTATTGGTGCAGGCAGAGTAAGCTGACCTATCTTCTCACAGACGCTTTGAGCGGCAACAGCAAGACTCACATGGTCAAACCCTCAGAATCAGAAAATAGTTCTGTCACGGCCAAGGACCGGGCACAGGAGAGATGGTTGTTTTTGTAACTGTTGGCCCACACACACAATCCGATATATATATAACGAATTCATTCGAGATCATTGATGGGCTGACACACTATTTTGCGATTCCTCATTCATGCTGGCGACTGCACAAAGGTTGCCGCCATCTCGCCAGCTCTTTCTGAAATGGAGGCCGAGTCCCTTTCTTGGCTTTCAACAAAGGGCGAACACAAAGACCTGTGGACCAGGGTTGGGTCATAGCGCAAGAAAATCCAATGGTCTCTTGCTGCTACTTCCAGGAGACTCTTGGAACGTTGCGATTCGCCTCTTCAGTAAAGAAGGCTGGGCTGCATCGCAAAGCTGCTGAATCGTTGTATTGGAGTTCCTGTGGTTGGATGTTGAAACAATAAGGGCGATGTTGGATTCACCGTTTTGGATTGGCAGGTGCGGACACATGCTGTTAGCAACGAGCAGGCTGGTTTTGGCGGTGTTACTTGCATGCGTTTGCTTTCGCTTGTTGTAAGAAGCTTTGTTAATGTACCAATAGTAGAGCGCAGTCAAGACTCAAGACACACACCATACATTTTGCACTTTGAACAATGTTCTGCCTTACTTGAGCAGTCTTGATAGTTTTTGTCATTCTGTCGTCCTCAATTCTTCAGACCCTGCGGTAGGATGTTGGAGAGAGCGATCTCCTCCTGCAAACGATGCGGTCTGAGGACGGCATCCGAAGTCCCGATCCCTTTGAAGTAAAGGAAAAAAGGGATGGGGAAGCAGAACGTACATGCCAAGGTCATCAAGGATTTGGTCGCAAAATAAGCCCATGAAGAGCAAAAAATAGGAGCTTGCACCGTGTTGCGATAGATAGTAATTACTATATATACTCACCAGAAAGGCCGGCAACTCCCATACCAACCAACAAATGCTGGCAAACCCACAGATTAGTTTAGGGGCATCTAAGACTTCGGCTACCCCTCAATCTTCCAAGATGCTTCGCTAAGCAATCTTCAAAGCAATGCCTTTTTGCAAAGTCTTCGAAGCTACAGAGATTTGAGGCAGAGGAGTTGAAGGCAGCAGCCCTGAAAGCGAGCGTGGAGAGTCCTCAGCAGGCCAAACTGGGTTGCAAAAAAGGGCATTGATGACGAAGCCAAGAAGTCTCGTCGTCGTGGTTGTGGTCGTGGTGGTGGTGGTCGTAGTGGTAGCGGTAGTGGTAGTGGTAGTAGTAGTGGTAGTAGTAGTGGTCGTAGTGGTAGTGGTAGTGGTAGTGGTGGTAGCAGTAGCAGTAGCAGCAGCAGCAGCAGCAGTAGTAGTAGCCGCAGTAGTAGTAATAGTTGTATACCCCATGATATTAGGACTAGAAAATGGAAGGGGTTGACGTCTGTAGAAAACGGGCATTCTTTAGTCACAAGGAGGTACACTCACTGGCAAGGGATCAGGTATTGCATTTTCTAGAGAGAATGTAGTTCCCTACAAAATGAGACACACAGGTCTCATAGGCATGCTTCCAAGGTCATTTTCTAGACATCACCTTGTTTTCTTGCTCCCACCTGTCCCTTCATTTTCTAGTGAGGTTTCTCATTTTCTAGCAAACATGATGAATCATGATGAGTCAAGACGGAATTTAAGTAGAACATAGCAAAGCATCACATCAATTTTGAACCCTCAAGATCTATACAGAAACAGAAAATTCAAGAAAGACATTTAGAACATTCAAGACATACCCCTAATTTTCAGTCCAAATATCATCGGGAAAGAGTGGGCACCACTGGCCAGAAATAGAATGGTAGGGTATGGCAGGGTGCTGGTCGAGACACCAAAGCCACTTGATTCGCCGGATCGTGCCGGTGTTTTCGGAGTGTTGTAGTTGTTGTTCAATAAGCTCAGTTGTTGTATGCTTTTGTTTGCTTTTTGCCTCCTCACAACACGTAGAAGCAGGATCCGCTAGAAAATGGCAAACGCGCTGCAGCAGCAGTACTAGGCGTCGTCATAGTAGCTCCATGAAAGTTGGAGTGGGCCCCCCTGCCCCCCTGGATTCATCCAAATTAAGAAAGTGTCGGCGCAAAGCGCGCTGTGGGATCTCAAAATCAAGCACTCCTAAATAGTGTTTTGTGAGCTTCAAGCAATGGACAAAAAGGTGCAAGTGAAAATAGAGCTCTATAGTCAGTTTTATTTCGGGGCCCCAGAATACAGGTCCCAGGATCATGTGTGCGCATGGTTTACTCCTTCTGGGGCTTGGTGTTGGAGAGAGTGCATTGGAGGAGTGTAGATCATAGCTGATCAGATCAAAGTGTCCACCGACTTCGGTGAGGCCCGGCGCTACATGAAGAGTGCTGAAGCTGTTGAGCACGCGGTGGGGGTCTCAAGAGTGCTAGCACACAATCCATAAAATGCACTCACCTTATCTTGTTTTTCTTACAACTGCCCACCTCGATGGTTTGATCTATTATTTTTAATTGCAATCAGATTACAGTAATTCTCCAGATTCTTTTGAGTTGCAATTTGCTGATGTCAGTCAAACCACTGAGATACTGAATTACTTTTGATCAGAGGATAGTTTTTCCACGTGAAGTTTTGTATACTGTAGGTCTTGAGCATCCAGACCAGGATAGACAAGACGATGTGGTCACAGGCAGAGAGATCCGAGCGACCCAAACTTGATGTTTGGCACACCCATCGTACTGAGATTTTTTAGGTTGGCAAAGTTCGTATCAGAGAGTTGGCTAAGTCATGCCAAACAATGTTCAATCCAATAATTTTTGTAGGATTGATCTTATAGATCGAAGTGCCCAACTTACTTAACTTCTCAACAGGAATGCGTCGATTCTGTCATGCCCAAAATAAGCGTCAGAATCATCCACACTTAGACCATACAGTGGGGAACCTGCCCGAGCTGACAAGCTGCAAGGCCCAGTTGAAGCAGCAGGAGGCATCACGCCTGCGTTGTGAGGCTCTCGTTGCATCATTTGGCAACATGTTCGGCAGGCTTTTTCATCACGACACTGAGAAGCAACAGCAGGCTGAGCACGTGCTCGCTACTTTTTACAGGCACTGGCCGGGCTGAGCCTGCCTTTCAACATCGGTGGCATGCTTGGAGGTGTGACAATTGCTGAGAATTGATAATCCAAAGACTCGCAGAACAGCGGAACACTGGGTCAGCATTGACTGAGTGGGTCCGACTTGGCAGGTCAGTCTGAGCATGCCGTCACGGCCAACTCGCAGCAGTCCCAGACTGGTCAATGAGATGTACGAGTCATGATCCTTCACATAGATTGGTTGGATTTGGTGTGGAATGCCACATGGCCATGTGTGTATTGTTGCATGATCAATCTGATAGCACAGATTGCCTCCCCAACCGAGGCCATATTTGTTGAATATTTCTGATGATATTTCTTTGGCGGGCAGGCGACTCGAACCAAGCAAAAGGAGAGAAAATCTATATAAGTCGCATGAAGTGACAAACTGGATCAAACTGGTCACACTCTACTGGCTGCAGTGGCTGTAGGCTGCTGTACTTCCTCCCAGAAGGTCCACCAATTAGCATCGGATCAGAGGAGTCTCTCGTCTCGTCCGTCTGGAGATTTGCCATGATCTGACACCCGTTTCAGGAGAGCAACAGAATCCGCCTGATGGGTTTGGGAATTCCTGACCACCTTTGTGACATCTTGGTCGTGGCAGGCCAGAATTTTTGAATATGTTTGATGCTGCCCGTGAAACATGTATGAGTCGTCATTCAAGCATACATGTATACAGACTTTTAGTGTCTTTGAGTCCTGATCATGCCTTGTTTGTAGCATGGAGTCCCTGCGACCAATCGTCCCCCAAAACTATTTGGTGTGTGATAGGGAACGTAATCGAGATGCCACTCACTCATGACTGGATTCCAAACCAATACAACGGAGAGGCCCAAGGATTCTGGTGACTGGTGTTGCGTGACTCGTCAGGTGGAAAAGGAGTGGAGGCCTGTGTTTGATATCAGACTGTGGAGATACCGCTGCTTTCAGCAAAGCAGCAACAGCAGCTGCTGAAGCCATAGTAATAATCAATGGATCCCAGCTGTTGAGGTTGCCAGCTGGCAGGAGTAAAATGGACGAGACAATGGACCACCCAATGCTGTCGGCTTTGGTCACTGTCATCCCGCTACGACATCCGGAATCGAAGGTTCAGCATTGCGGTCGGGGTGGCCGACTGGTTGTGAAACCGGCCAGTTTTGCTGCTTTGGTTTGCTGTGTGATGATGATTGCTCATAGGGTTTTCACGTGTCCAGTTGAACTCGGCTCTTTCCGTGCAAGAGATGTTTTAACTGTCCTGACAGGTCGACGGAGTGCCTGTCAGCGACAATCAGGCGACAATGTGCAGCACTGCAGATTTCTTGATGTTTGGTTTGGACCACATCCCTTAAATCCTCTCAATCCAGGCGATCGCTTTGTACAATGGAGCTCGCATCATTTTTGGCCGTGCTTTTGCTTTTAGGCTTGCTCATCCCTCAGAGTCTCCAAGTATCTCTGAGTGTTGCAATCAAGAGGGTGAACTGATCTCACAGGCAAACAAATTCACGAGTCCAGAGATTCAAGGTCAGATGTTGAGACTGACGGAAGATGCTGACAAAATCGACCAAGAAAAGGACTGAATGACGGTGGCACTCCAAGGTCATCCCACTTGCATCGCAGGGTGGTGGGCGTGGCATTGAAGACGAGGACAACTGGAAAGCCTCAGACGGCATTCCTAAGTATATATAATATGTTGCTGAATCCCGGGTCATTGATGCTCTATGAAATGCACATCTCTATCCTCTATGAAATGCCTTTTGGGTACCCATTCTATAGAGAGCTAGGTGCCCTGGATGTTGTCGAAGATGTCCAGAGGGCATTTTATAGAGACCTGTGGTGCCACAGATTGGTGGCAGCAACTTTGCATACTAGGAGTATGTCAGTCTGAGCATTTTATAGAAGGGAAGGCTGACATGTGGATGATACAATCATTTGCCTGGATAGGCATTTTATAGTGGCAGCTGCTCTTTTTGGTATGATCACAAAGGCATTTCATAGAGGTTTGGTATGTTGCAAGCAGGCACCCTACCCAACAATGACCTGGGATGTTGCTGAAAGTTCTTCTTAATCCTCATCATTCGACGCCACTGCATTCGCCGACACGATGTACATTTTTGGACTTGCTCATGTCCACTGCAGGATTTGCTCATGCGTGCGGTCAGGTGCTGAGAGAGAGATTGATAAAAGCGGCTTTTCTTTCCCAGCCTGGAAGAGTCCAGAAGTAGATACAAGCAGCATAACTGATACAAGTGTCATCAAGTGTCCATTTCTCTCCCAATGTGTTGGCGCTGTATACCCATAAATCTCTGAAACTGCTCGGTCTGATTAGTACAAATGGCTCAAACGTGGTGAGAGGAAAAGGCAATGTTTTTGCAACCGTAGGCTTTCACTTGACATTGTACGGTACTTCAGAGAAACGTTGTGGAAAGGCAGAAGTGTTGTGAATATGGCGAGGAGGCTGCAAACATAAGAGTTCAGAGAGGCCAAAAGGATGAGATTGTGACGAAAACATATAAAACACAATGATGGATCCTTCAGTTTACAATAGAGTCTAAAATTCTAAAAGAAGCCGTCCTTCTGAGTGCTTGTTCAGTCAAACCAATGCTCATTATTGAGCAGGTTTCCCAAGCATCACGAAACTTGCTGCATTTGTGAATGTACTGATCGACATACGCCGAGCTTGAGCCGCTGGTTTCGTGGCAGACAATGGCTGCTTGAGCTGAAGCAGTCATCGTTTGTGGCAATGCTGATTCCAAGCGGCCAAGCTCGCATTGAGAAAGAGTTGGACACCGAGATCCTCCGTCTGACCCTGCCAGCCCTGCCTGCGGAACTTGGTGCGAGCGTTCAACTCTCTCAGGTGTCAAAGTGTCACTTCTTCACCGTTTCTTGGAAAGACTGACGCATAGATAATAAACACATATTTGTACAGACAACATTCTGTACGTGCAGCATTCATCACGATGGCAGCAACTCCATGATCGACCATGCGTTTTGCGCTTTCTGCTCCTGCTCAAAATTGTCGGAGGTTTGAGTCTTATGAACCCTGTGATGAACCCTGTGGGCCCTGTGAAGCATGGGCATCTACTCTTTGGCTGGCGACTAAAGCTAGCAGCTAGAATCTGCTGGGTAGTGGGCATACCAAGCACTTACCTATTACCTACTATGGTTGAAATCCGTGCACAATAGGTGTAAGATAAAGCTTGAGTCTAGAATGCCGCAAGAACAAAATCAGAAGGCCAAGTTCGATATTTGATCTCTGGTGTTTTCTTAAATCCTGGCTACCAGATGGATTCCAAGAAATTGATGAAGTGTCTCAGGTAACGTGGATTTCTTTACGTGAAACCAATGTCAAAGCCTGCATAGTAAGGAGGAAAAGAGCAAACTCTGTTTCAAGATCAACAACACGCAATTCCCCTGCCGGTATGGGGGACCTGACAAGTAGCTGCCTAACAACGCCATAGCTAAGAAAATGTAATGTTTAAAAAAAACGGGACCTAGGAGGAAGAATGGAAGCAGTGGTCCCGTTTTCGCAACCCATGGCTGATTCATTGTAAAACGATAAAGAGTTTTAAAACAAGATAACACTCATGTAATACATGCAATACAGTACATGAGAATAGAAGTATTGGAAATTCAAATGCCTTCAGTTCTTGAAGCAAATAGCTGTCAAATCCATTCAAATCCAATTATTGATTTCAGGTGCATTTTTTTAAACAGGAATGTTTCATGTCAAGGTTTTCGTGTAATACAAGCAAGCATTCAGGAGTGATGTCTTTTTGGCTCTTTGAGCATCGCTGGGACATGGGTAGACATTTGCTGATCCATATGGGTAAGTAGTTGCATGTACACGCATGGATTCTAATTCA